CTTCCTGTGACCAGAATTCCTCAGTCCAGTTCTTCACCTCTGAAGATCTTTTGCCCTCGGCTCCGCTCTCGCCTACCAGCTGCTAGATGACTTTCACTCAAGCTCTTCCTGCTGTTCTCCTTTCTGTTTTTCTCCCTTTGCCTCTTTTCTCTTGATGGAACCTACCCTCACAATAACCATCTCTACATCCCCAGGCAGTTTTTTTCCCTGCTCATCCACTCACAAGTTCAGTTTAAGGCTGCTTTACTCTTAATCAGTGAAATGCCTCTTCGTAGCAATAGCAATTTTCACATTTGGCCACTTAAAAACATAATCAGTTTAAAAGTGGCGTTCAAAGTTTCTCTAGATGACCAGTTTCTTCCTAAATTCTTAAGTTAATAGCCTTTATTTTTATTAGCTACACCTCCCCGAGGCGTTGGTAGGGCTCAGCGACTGAACACAGGACAAATCTCACAAGCCACAAACACAACTGTCCTGTGAGCAAAGCCATGGAACGCAGTTTCTCTACCGTCAGCTTCGCTGCGATCCGCAGCAGGTGATCTGCCGGGGGCGTGGAAGCACGACTTCCGAACAGTTCACCTCCCGCGTTACGCCTGCCAGAGTTAAACGTGAGCTCGTCACGCCAGACTTCAAGTTTTTTTGGGGGGAGGCAAACTCCACGATATATTAACAAAAGGCCCCAGTTAGTTCCTAACTCGATTCTAACCTGAATGCACCCGAGCGTTTACTTTCAGTACTCGTCCTCGGATGCGCTACAAAAGGCGGAAGACTGTCGAGGCCCTTATCCCTCTGGAACGTGCTTTCTTGCACGCATCTTTCGCAGCTTCTGTGGAGTCACCAAGGAGGAGATCTAAAGCAATTGGTAGCACGGAAGAAGCAATCTGATGCCTCTTTAATTACAGCTAACTAGCTAAATACAAAACCCACCATATGGATTAACATTTCAGTGTTAAAATCCACAGCTATTAATACGCACAGATCTTAGGTGGTAAAATTTGCCACTTCTCTCTTTGAAGTAAGCCCTATATTAGGAAAGAAACCCAAACATTTCTTGTATTCAGCTCAGCAAGAGGATACAGCTTTCCCCAGACCGACAGGCAATTTCAGTGAGTGCCGATGCTTTTGTTTGGAGGGTAAGCGGTTGCAAGCGCGATTGTTCCACGCTGCCTCGGGTAATGTGAACCCTTGAAACTGAGCAGCTTGTTCTGCACAGGTTCCAGAGATTTTGAAAGCGATGCTTTTTCCCTGGGGTGAGACTGTTTCGAGACTGCAGCGGGTGTCTCTTACCCAGCCCTGAAACCGGTGAGGGTTTTCGCTTGGTCGGGTGGGGATTGCTGCCCTGGTCTGGGCCCAAGCTTCCAACAAAGCAAATGACTCACAAACAGCAGAAGGTTTTCGGTCTGCTCCCCTTCCCCCTCGCAGGGGGAAAGGAAATCTCGCTGACTAAAGAATGGCCCTTCAGGCACAGGAACACAAAGTCCTTCTCTTATGAAGCAAAGAAACCCTAATCTGAGAGTTCCAGCTTACAGCGGAGTTCCACGAGGGAAGGAAATGGAGAACTGCTCAGTCTTAATAGCAAACTTTAAACATTAAGCAGTTGCATCAGACCAAAGAACAAGCTACAGCCAACTCCAAACGTGACAACTCCAACACTCAGTGTGTTCTCCTCATCCCAGGGTGGAAATCTCTCCCAGGAGACCTCAGAGGCTCTCACAGGGCCTTAAGATCTCGTCTTAATTCCTTCCTTGCTCTCTCCAAAACCACAGGCACACAAAACACACTCAGATGATATTCAAAGTGCAAATCGAGCAGCTGGGTTTCAGCTGGCTCACGCCTGGAGGTCAGTCCCTTTGCACTGGGCTTTGACTACCAAATGGCTTTCCTGTGTCATCATCAGCCTCTACTTCCCCAGCTGCCGTTTCTTTGGGAGAACACTAAAAACACGTCCTCCCCCAGGAAAGCCCCCACCCCAGGAAACTCCAGCTGAAAAGCCGAGTGAGTTTTCTTCTTTAATTTTGTTATTTTCCCTCTGGAACAGCAATGAGAAAACTGGCTTTGGCTACACCAATAAAAACGCCGTTTTCCACAAGGCGCGCCGATCCTTGCTACCGTCAGCACATTTGCCCAGCGAGGTGAAGCCCGTGTATCCCGTCAGCGAGAGCCGCTGCGCAGGCTGAGCCGCAGGAGCCCTGCCTCGTCCCGCAGGCGAGCGGGATGGCGCCGAGGGGCGCGGGGTACCTTCTTGAGGAACGTCGCCACCGTTTCTCGCTTCGTGGCTGTGATGCGCTTCACTCCTTCTGGCGACTGCACGCGGATTATCTGTGGGGTTAAGAGGACAACCCGAATTAGTGACGGGGACAGAGCCCGCCCTGTGCTCGCAGCCTGCTGAAGCCAGGTTGAAGTCTTCCGCATGCAACACAGACTATCCCCACCGCTCCTCCCTCCTGCTTTTAATGCTGCTCTTCAACAGGGTGTGCAAATGCACATGGAAGTAATTTGCTGGCGGTCGGCAGCGCCGGCCCGACGTTTGCATGCCGCAGGACGAATCACCCTAATGCACGGGGCACGGCAAGAAGCTGGCACCGAGAAAAACGCTAACACTGCCTTCTTCTGTCAAAGCTCTGACCTCAGATGTGGAATTAAACTTTCAGGAGGAGGGTGAATCAGAGCTTCCATGGGGGCAATTTATTCGGTGCCTACACACAAACACTGGCCAAACTGGTACTAATGGGCACCTGCGCTGTCGTCATGTTTCCAGCCACGTTACTGACGTGTAGCTTCCACCGCTAGTGAAAAGCCGAGGAGAAGAGCCAGAAGGCTCAGGCTGTTCCTGCGGAACACTGAATAGCAGTTTTGCTGCAGCCTGAAGTTAGAAATGGGGAAAAACGGCAGCTTTGGGGACAAAAAGCCGGGGACAATTCTTCACACACCGGCAGGGAAGTGGCAAACGTAAATGTTGGAGTCCTCGCGCTGCCGAGGACTGGAGAAGTGACTCAAGTTGTTCTAAAGAGAATGTTCACCTGCTGAGATGCAACGCAGCGCCACGTTCAGGATGACAGCGAGTGTGCTGAAAGGGGGGACACGGGAGGGACACGGGAGGGGGACACGGGGGGCTGCCAGCATCCCGGCATCACCTCGCAGGACCCCCTTTACACCCCCCCAACCTCCAGCACGGAGCAAGCTCGACCTGACAGGAAAGGGAAACCTTTACGGTACCGACGAGCCCCTTCCCCGGTGGTGTCGCCACCCGGGCCGAGACCGGGCACCTTCCCCCGGGACACCCCCGCCCGGGGCCGAGAGGGACCCCGGTCCCAAACCCCACACGCTCCCTGGGGCGAACCCACGGGGAACCCATCCACGGCCCGGCTGCGAGGACGGGGGGGAGAGGGGCTGCCGGGCCCGGCCCCGGGG